AAGCCTATTATCATAAAACATCATATATTTTATGTTGCTTATTTCCAGTCTCCCCAAGTTCATTAGACTGTAAGCTCCATGAGGACTGTGATGTTTTGTTTACTGCTGCAGTCAGTAAACTATACCAAGCACATAGTAAATGTTCAATAAATTTTTGTCACATCAATGAATGAAAAGATAAGAAAAATAATAAATAAGCCGAAACCTTTATTACTTGTATATATTATTCTCATCTTTTGTAACAGACTTAGCTTAACTTATTTGGGTCGTGGGAAAAAGGTGAGCTGAGTCCTCCTGTGCATCAGATCATCCTCTGATTGAACATTTCCTGTGCACTTGCTTCAAGGCAGGCAGTATTTACTTCCTCCTCTGTCTTTCCCAACTTCTCTGCTCCTTTCAGTCACATAAGCACATTAACCACATTTTTCTCTTTGCTTTTATCTCCCAATCCTCGTATTTATCTGGCATTCACTTGGGATTCAGTAGAGTCAGATGCCATGGTGAATTTTGTCTTGTACGTGTCCTCTTAGATTGACTTTGGGCTACTGAAATTCAAGTTCAACCTGATTTCAGATTGCTGTATGTATGAGCTGAAAATCTGTTGGATATTTAAGTTGAATACTTCTACCTTAAATAATAGCAATTTTCAATCCAAAAATTATTTATTGAGCCCCTACTATAGGCCAGGCACAGTGCCAGAACCAAGGAATACAACAGTAAGACTTAATGTCCTCTACTCTAGTATATTAATTGTTTGTATGAAGTTAGAATATGATTTATAAGGCATCCTATTTATGCACTGAAGCACACATAACTTCTAACTGGAGAAGAAGCCCTTCTAATTGAATAAGAGCCCCTCTAATTGAAAATACTACATAGTTTAGAGTTCTTCGTGTATTTCAAATAAAAATTTAAAAATGCATATTTTAACATTCTTAGATTGTCTGAGAATGTAAATAATGAAGTGTGACCCATAAAACAAAATGAAAAAATATTTTCTCTTTGTTATTTTGACATGAATTAACTGACATCTATGAAAGGACAAAACTCAATGATAGTAATAAAAATGAGTTAGAGTTTCAGTTTTGAGCATTGAATAGTAATCATTGCATAGAGAACCTTGAAATGTCTTGAAATCCTACAGTTCATAAATGAAAGAAACTTAAGAAGTCTTCTCAAATTTGACAACACACTGAAATTGTACAAGCTATTTTCAATAATGATTGTGAGGCAGGAACTTTCTAAAATGTCAATAATAAAAAAAATAACCTTTGATCAACCATGCTAGAAGAAAGACTGGAGTGTGTTTCTGTTGTACCCACAGAAAATTATATTACAGGATCATTCTACCATATCGCACCCACTAGGATGGCTATAATAAAAAATGTAGACAATAAGAAGTGCGGGTTATCATGTGAAGAAATTGAAACCTATTGTTGGTGAGAATATGAAATGGTGCAGCCCCTGTGGAACCCAGTTTGGCAGTGAAGTTAAATAGAGTTACTTATGACCCACAAATGCTACTATAGAGAAATGGAAGTGTAACATCCATGCAAAAGCTTGTACATGAACATTTATAGCAGCATTACTCATAAAAGCCAAAAAGTGGAAAGAGCCCAAATGTCCATCTACTGATGAAGGGATCAATAACATGTGGCCTATCCATATGGTAAAACATTATTTGGCAATTAAAAAAATAAAGGTGTGTTACATGCTGCACATGAATGAACATTGAAAACCTTAAGGTAAATAAAAGAAACCAGACACAAAAAAGACCGTATATTGTATGGTTCCATTTCTACGAAATGTGCAGAATAAACAAATCCATGAAGTCAGAATGTAGATTAGTAGTTGCCAGGGGCTGAGAGGGTTGGAGGGAAAAGAAGCATGACTGCTAGGAGTATAGGGTTTCTTTTGGGGGGTAATAAAAATTTTCTAAAACTGACTGCGGTAATAATTGCTCAAAAACCATTGACTTGTTCCCTCCAAATTGGTGAGTTGTATGGTATGTGAATTATATCTCAATAGAGCTGTTTAAAAAAAGTATTCCAAAGGAATGGTTAAGAGTATGCAGCCAAAAACACATGAGGGAAAGTAATATGGAGGTAGTTTAGGAGCTTAATTAATAAAAATATTATGAAGACTATTGATACAAATGTGTAGTTTTTCTGGAGTTGGTAATGTGTGTGGAATTTGTCAGCTTTTATGAATTTATATTTGAAAGTTTTTCCCATTCTATATTCAGTTTTGTGCCTCCCCCCAAAAAAAATCCACAATGTCGTATTCTAACAACTGGCCTTCAGAAATAGTAAGGATTGACTATATGAATGACTAATACATGAGAGAATTTTAACTTCATTTTCATTTCTTGTTTTGACCTCCAGTATCTAACATCTTGCTTACTTCATAGTTTCTCTTTCTTTCCACACCATGTATACCAGGCTCATGGACAGAGTGTGGGGGAGGAATACGGTGCTATATGGATAAATATTGACCAGCCCATGCCTCTTTTAGAGGCTGCTGCTCAGCTGGCTTGTGTGCTCCCTCCCTGCTCTTGCCAAAGTGGATGTTTGTGTATTCTGACACTGAACTTGAGCACAGTCGTGATCATTTGAGCTGGGTGCCTGGCATCCCTGGGGGCTAGGATAGCAGAAATGGGGATTCTTCCTCATTTTCAGTATTTTAAAAACACTTAACAAAATATTTACACACAAAATAGTGCTGGCAAACTGAAATGTCAACCTTTATTTGATTTTCTTTGTGTTTTATCATTTCAGAAGTGGTAACACGGGTTAATTTATGTTGATCAGAATTTCCATCATTTATACCTTTGATTATTTAAGGTGGGAAAAATGAATGATTATTTAAAAGATGTAATCACCTTTGTAAGTAAGACCTTGAAGCATTTGGGATTCAGGGGAAAAAATTCCTTAGTGATGAAAATGGGAAACATATTCTGTTGCTTGCTTAATTTTTGAAATATCCCTTTATTGAACCTTTACTATGGTCCAGGAGCACTACATAATGTCATGCTAATAACAATTCTGCAAGTTATCATTATCCTCATTTTACAATTAAGGACACAGAGGCTCAGATTACAAGTATCTATTCCCAGGTCCCTTAACTAGTAAACTTGTGTAAATCTAGGTCCACCCTGCCTCCTGTATAAATAGTTATGTGTGGGAATAGTTGGTATAGTTTTAGATTCAGCTTAAAATTCTTTACCTTCCTCCCTTTATAAAATGTTGGTTACTTTTCCAGTTAAAGGCCACTGAGCCAGTGGTGAGGCCCCAGGTAGCAACTATATTTTCTACATGTTCATATTTCTGATTCCTTGCCAACAAAACCATGAGACCCCAGGGTTCAAAGAAGCTGAAGTTTATTGGAAATGGGCACACAGGGATTGACCTCCTGGGGTATTTCTGTAAGGGTGAAGGTAGGATCCATAAAGGAGAAATATACCCAAATAACTGGGTGCTTTAAAACCCACACATTTGACCAAACTGCTGTGCTAGTAGGGGAGAATGGCTTGAGATCGCTTCTCCAAAGAGGGAACGGATTTGTGTAAATGCACCCACACCCCCATTCTGGCTCCTCTGGTGGGTGCCACTGGCTTCCTGATAGATGTAAATGGGGCAGTCAAAGCAAAAGTCGGGGTCATGTGCCTGGCTGCATCCCATCCTGGTGGGCTGGTTCCTTGGGTCCTGAAGGAACTTGACCTTTCATTCCCACTCAAAGCTTGGCCATGGTGGCCACTTCCCTTTATTTGGGCACCTTCTACTGGTCACAGGAAGTAAGACTAGTGTTCGTGGCATTGAAGCTGTAAGACAAACATACCACAAGCCCCCACGCTACCGGTCACTTGGGGTTCCACCTCCAGGTGCTTGAATCTGGCAAACATTGAAGTGTAAGGTGAACCACTTTCACTCTAATAAACCTTACAGAGGGTGGTTTTTAGGTCTCCTTGATCCCTTTGCCAGGGGAGGGCGCCCTTGCAGACTGCCACCGCCACACACAGTCCAGGGGAAAAGGAAAAAAAGGCACGGGTTTTCGGCATTTTCGATTGAAAATGTGGTTTTGAAGTGAATTATGCCCCAGTACGCATATTCGGTTAGGGCAGTCTCAACAAGATTGCCGGACGCAGGCGAGTCCTGTCCCGAGGGGCGATAGATCTTATATGGGTCGCCCATGGAGCTCCTTCAAAGAGGCAAAGCACAACACGGACCCAGGAGGGTTATCCCTCCTCATCCCCCCCAGACCCCGAGGGGACGCCTGGGCGCTCCTCGCGGGACCAGGCGGGATGGTGCACAACTCGCGGCTTCCCTCAGATGGCCCTTCCTTGGAGGAAACACCAGCCAAAGCGCCTCTCACTTTTCTTGGGGTGGGAAAACTGTTAGGGAACCAGACAAAGCAACAGGCAGATTTCCGCCGGGCGGAGGGTGAGTGCTCAGCGCCCGAAGGTGGCAACTGGCCCTCTTTGCCTACCCTGCCCTTTCCACCCCTTCCCCGCACGCGGCCCCCTTCCCCCTACCCCGCAGGAGCCTGGCCCCCTAGCCGCGGGCCTCCGCCCTCTCCCCCTCTTCCAGCCCCTTCCTTCCCCCTCCCCTCTGTTCCCCCCCCTCTCGGCACCGCCCCCTCCACCCTCTCACCTTCCCACCCTCCCCCTCGGGACTCCTCCCCCTTCTCCCCTATCCTAACCCTTCCTACCCTCTCCGTCCCTCCACCTCCCTGCCCCATTCCGCACTCCTGCCCCTACCCCCGGGCAGCCTATCTGCCATCCTCCGAGCTCTCTCTCACCCCATTTCTCCCCTTCAGTCTCCCACCCCACTAGCCCTCCCCCTCCCCCCCACTAGCCCTCCCCCGTCCCCACCCCCACCCTTCCCGGCCCCCTGCCCTGCAAGGCCCCAGAGGCCCCGCCTCAGTCACCCCGCCCCCTCCACGCCCCCAGGCGCCGTCCCACCCACGCCCGCGCTGCCTCCGCTTTGACACCGCTGGGGGCCGCACCGGGCAGCCTCCACTAGGGTGCGCGCCTGCCACCGCTGCCGCCGCGGGGTTCCCGCCGCCGCCCCTCAGCAGTCCCGGGAGCCCGACCTGGAGCGTGCTGCGCCCGCCGCCCTCCTTGAGGCTCCCCGCGGTGGCGGGCTCGGCGCTGGCGATGGAAGATGGAAGGAAGAAGTGCTGCGGTGAGGCTCGGGATCCGCGGGACGGAGAGTGTGGGGTCTCGCTGGTGCTCACAGTCCAGTTGGGGTCGAGGTTTGGTTGGCTTTGTCGCTCGTCAGTTCTCCAGGTTCCCCGGGCCACTTGTGTTTGTGCCTTAGCATCAGCATCTGGTAGCGATTTTCCTTTTGCTTTTTCTTTCTTTGTGTTTGTTATGAGCCCAGAAGGGTGAACTTTGTGGGGTTAAGATTTTGGGGTTTTAATTCAGCCCTCGGCTTTGAAAACCTGAGATTTGGACGAGAAGCCCGAGTACTCATTCTTGCTTAATGATCAAAAGGAGGATAGCATTAAAGAGGACCCGATGTGCCGATTTTACTCTGCCAGGTCAGCTCTTGTATTTAGGGACTATCACGTTTCTCTGTCAGAAAGAAAAAAAAATCCAAAAACTTGCGTAGAGCGACAACGGAAGATTATCTGGTTTAATATTCCCAGTAGCTTTTAAAGACGTTTCATTCTGTTTCACATACATTTAGTGTTATCCGCTGTTTTCAGCTATACGTTCTAATAAGTGATGTTCTGAGATTGAAAAAAAACCAGATTAACACTTAGAGAATGTGGCCTCAGAATGTCACAGACCTAAGTTAAATAATAAATGTGTAGTTGTACCGTTCCCCCAGATGTTGAAGGATGTTAAACACTCGGTAAGTAGGCACATTGATACAGTAGGTAATGGGCATTATGATTTCATTTTCCAAAGACTGATTTGCCCGACAGTGCAGGGGATCCAGGATTTCCACTCCGGAATAACTCTTGAGTAGGTCCAGGTGTTGGTGTGGGGAAGAGGGAGATCTGGAAAATTACTCTGAGTGGGATTCTGGGTACAAATGCTGCAGTTCATTAATTGTGATGAATGCAGTATATGCAAAGGTCTTTGCAAAGCCCTCTTGCCAGGTGAGTAAGACAGGATTTCTGCTGTCAAGGAGCTTGCTTTCTAGTAGGAGAGACTTCTGCAAAGGTTATGATGGAGGGAGCCAGAAAAAGAGAGGCTCTGGCCTAAGAGTTTGGAAGTCCTCTGTGAGGAGTTGGCAGTTGAGCTGGACTTTGAAGGGGAGGGTTTGGGTGGCTTTTGGAGAGTGAGGGGTGGATGTTCCCTGCTGAAGGAAGGGAAATGCACTTTCCTCTTGCAAGAAATACTTTATCTTTTCTTAGAGTGTTTACAAATCAAGAGATACTCTTCAAAAGTCAGTAAATTCTTCTTTGGCGCTTAACAATGTAATATATCAACAGAATCAGCAAAACAATGCAAAATGAATTTATACCTTCCCAACCAATTTCTAGTGGCTTGATGCATGTTCTTCTACAACTTTCTTGTATCCACCCACAAGTCATGTTACAGATATACAGAGTAGGGCAAAAGTAGGTTTACAGGTACAAGTACATGAAACAGTTTTATTCTTGTATTGGCATTTATTAATTATTGTATTATTTTACATAAGAACAACTGTAAACCCACTTTTGCCCCACCCTGTATGATTTTTGTCTTGTGTGTTAGCTATTTCATTAATACATGCCTCTGTGATAAAAGAAGCACAGTGGTACCATGGAAAGCTCTTAGATTAGCAAATAGGACACCTGGCTGGTAGGTTTTGTCACTGGGTGAGTTTTTGCCATTGTCCTGAGCAAATCATTTAACCTCTGTAGCTAACCTGGTCTGTCCTGCAGAATGAGGGTATTGGGTTGATGCTCTCCCAGAGCCTTCTAGCTCTGGCATTTTATGGTTTCATGCCTAAACATGTATATGCATTACTTACTCAGTGATTTACTCTGTACATCACATTCTGAATATCTCTGTATATTCTGTGAACAGATCAGTGCTCTCTTCCTGGCCATTGAATGTGAGAGAGTGATTAAAGCTGCAAAGTTAAAATAACCTTATTTTAAGGTGAAATTCCACAGTTGAGTGTTTTTTTTAAATGCAAGCATAAGAAGGTAGATTTGCAAATCTGAATGCGTGTTGGCTTTAAGAAAAATTTTGTTGGCCCTGTTCACTTCATTTGTGGCCAAAGAATAATACATACTTTATGATGCACAGGGTACTCAGGAGGTTCAGTTTCGCTTAAATACTAGCAATTAAAAACACAGGATACCCTGGAAATCTTTATAGGCTTGTAAATCTTGGGGATTTGGAAATAAAAGTGAAATAAGACAGAAAATCAGCTCATTGAAAAAGGAAAATTTAGAGATACTTTCCATGAATGGCTCTACTTGTTTTAAAAGCCTTGATATGTTTGTTTGTTAGCCCTGATGGAAAAATGTGTGAGTGGGATTTAGCCTGGCACTACATTAAAAAATACATCTAAGATGTTGCTACTTTTAGAGGTGATTTATTTTTGTTTTAGAAATTCTGGAGTCATCTGTCACGCATTGTTCATAAACTAAGACCCCAGTGTGGCTGAGGGTGATCTCAGTCTTGGTTAGGAAGTGCTGAGGCAAAAACTGTGTGAGCATTATTAGTGTGTGCACTTTGGCCTCGATCCTGGTTTGTTTAAGGTTTACCCGAGCTAACGTTGTCGTTTGGCAGCTATGAAAAGAGCATTTCTCTGGGCTTGGGTTGGATTGAGAGGTGAGTCCTTCCCAATTTTTAGAAATGAATTCAGACATGACTGAGGTTTAAGCAGTCAGTTGTGAAAAATAATGTGGTGATCAGTAGGTGACCCAAATCTATTTACCTGAGGATGTGACTCAAGTTGAGAAGGTGAGCATCCAGTCTAATTTCAAATCATTGCTGCTTTGAGGGTTCTCAACATTCAAGGGTTCCCCTGCAGGCTGGGCCAAGCAAAGCTGTCCTTGGCTTCCCTTTGCTATGACTGGAGGTATTTTCACATCGAATACTGCCCCTCAGTTCTTCCTGAGTTCTTTTAAAGCAGCCTAACCTTCTTGTAGGGGAGTACAGGGTCCAGGTGAAACTCTCCAAAGCATTTGCTCGGTGTGCCCAGGACCTGACAGCTTGTATTGTTCATGGTGGTGAATGCAGACTAAGAGATTCGCTGGAGAGCATTTCAGGAGTGGCATTATTTTTTCGAGAGTGTGTCCCTTTGTATCTTTCCTGTGTTTCTGAGGTACAAGACCATCTTCCTGGGACACTTTTCACACGTCCCAAATTGCCTGGTGTTAGTGGTGTGCTAAGCAGTGGTGCCGGCTGCAGTTGCAGGTTACGGTGGAGAAAAAGGATAATTTGCAGCATGCAGTGAACAAGTTATTCTTAAATCCAAATTAACAAATTTCTATGCCTTGTTCAGAAAAAAAGGTGATACTCATATATTAATAAAGAATCTTTGCTTATGCTACCTTATTTATATAAAAATAGCACTTGTCTGCAGCCTTTGTTTACCATTGGGCCCAGAAGGTCAACAGACTGGGGCCCATTGGTGCCCAGTGGGCGGGGACCTCGTTGACACCTCAGGGCACAGAGATGTGGAGCATTTTCTCTCTTGAGGACAGCTGTGGTGTGAGGGAGTCACCAGCTCCTCTCCCCTCGTTCACAGGGGGCCAGGTCTTGACCTGGGCCCAACACTCATTTCTTGGGACTTGCTTAACCATGAACTGCTCTCTAGTTTGAAACTCCTTTCCTCCAGCCACAGATAGGTGAGATGAATAATTTGTACATGTTCATAGATATTTTTAAAAGTTCATTATTGGAGTTTGGGATTAGGAGGAAGGTGAACATTTTAACCTGAGCCTAGGGCTCTTTTTTTACAGACTTTTCATGTGGGTTAGCTGGGAAGCATTTTCCTTTAAGTTTCATGTTAAGTCCTAACTTTTGGAAAATGTTGAAGTGATGTTTTCAGGCATGACACATTGTTACAATCACAGCATATATATATACACACACACACACACACACACACACACACACACACATACACATACATGTGTATATATGAGATAAAGATTCTTTTTTTTAAAGATTTTATTTATTTATTTTTAGAGAGGGCAAGGGAGGGAGAAAGAGAGGGAGAGAAGCATCGATGTGTGGTTGCCTCTCACACGCCCTCTGCTGGGGACCTGGTCTGCAACCCAGTTATGTGCCTTGACTGGGAATCAAACTGGTGACTTGGTTCGCAGGCCAGTGCTCAATCCACTGAGCCACACCAGCCAGGGCCCAATCACAGCTAATATTTATTGAGATCTTCTTATGTGCTTTAACACAGATTACCTGTGACAACCCCATGACAACTCCATGAAGTCAGTTTCCATTCTGAAGTCTGGAGAGGTTAAGGAATATAGCTAATGAATGGCATAGAGCTGAGATTTAAACTCAAGCACTCAGTTTCCTTAACCACCAGTCCTCAAAGTTAGCATTGTGTGTTGCAGAAACTGAGCTTTTTGGTTCTAATATTTAGATTCTGTGGGTCTTAGAATCTGAAATTGAATGACTGATTCATCAACAACTGTTACTCTATGTATCTGTTGGCTTAAATAGTGGGGCAAGTACTGTTGTTTGGCTCAAGAAATAGAAATTGTGTGATTTTCTTTTAAAAACACATGTAATGTCTAAAGGCCACTGTAAGGCCACGTGTAAGGACTTCCATATGGTTATAAATAATTGGAATTCAGAGTAGAGCAGATTAACAATTTAAAATTGAGTGTAAGGCTCACCTATTTTAACTTCTAGTTACATTACCTCATAGAAGTGATGTCGACTTTTCTGCAACTGTGGTTGTTGACACAAAGAAGGCTGCTTCTGTGTGTGTGTGTGTGTGTGTGTGTGTGCCACCCAAGAGCTGGGACTTTGGTTGTTGAGAAAAGGCTCCTGGAACAATAAGGAGGAGAATGGGGAATGAGCCTGGGGGGCATTCATGAGAAGATCTGGCGGCAGCTGCTCACTGTTTCTCCTGCCTTCTGTCCCCAGACTTTGCTAAGGCAATGTCAGTTATAGAAACGGAGCAGCTTGGTTCTTCCTGTGGCTGTTTGGTCTGCGAACAAGGGATACAGAAAACTTTCAATAGAAGCAGCTGTAGCTTCT